GTACCCCTCGGTCTCATTTCTTGCTGGGTATAGCAATAATCATACTTTAGGTCTTGAGCAAGGGCACAGATCCTCTCATTTACAACTGACTTTTTCACTAACAACATAATTCACACTGTTTAGTATATAGTGTTATTTTGCTGTAGCACGTTAGGTTCTATTTGAAAATCAAAGTTGAAACCAGTAAGAGCGACAAAGCGAGTAAAGTTATAGCCGGGATTTGGAAAATCTGTGAAAGAGTTCAGCACGAAATTGGTGCATGCCCATAATGGTACCCTGACGTATCGCAAATTTCATTTTGGAGCTAATGCGGAAAGGAGCCCTACTTATTTCTTTCAGAGTCGTGCGTTTGGGAGGGAAAAGATTTTTGAGGTCTCTTTTGTGCTCCGAAAGGCCCTCTTAAGCCAGAAAGTAATGGCTATGATGACTTCAGAAGGTGTTCTGAAGAATAAAAATGAACATGTCTCCGGAACCTTCGAGAAAATGACGATGAAATTTAGGGGTTTTTGCCGCCGTGGCCATTTATGCGCGTGTGTGAATAATTACTAAAAATTAGTGAAAAGTCCATTGCAAAGCACATCAACATCGGTCTTGCATATGCATGGACAATGAGCCAGCCACTTCATTTATAAAAATACCACTACTAAGAACAATTTGAATTAATATATAAGCAAAATACAACTAACGCTTACGCTAACTAATTTGGTTACCATTAATAGAGGCCATTACCACGGTGGCATGGGGCTCACGGACAGAAGATACACCCCTTCAAAGATCAGGGTGTATTCATTTTGGGTGTGATTTACATATTGTATGCGAACTGTACAGATCTCTCCCCCCCTTCCACACACACACACACATGCGACTTGTTCCCTTAAACGTCAGCAGGGCTGATGTCAACGCCTGGTTCGACCCGTTTGAGCAGGGGCAAAAGCAGCATTTGAACGGCACAGAAGAAGAACATGGCGCCGAGCACGTAGAAGACCGTCAGGTAACTCGAACCGGTCGCGTCCAAGATCCAACCTGATTGAAATTAAAAGAAGACCAAAAAAAATACAAGGAAAAACGCCAGGATAAAAAAAATGAGGAAGTAGGCCATTCAGCCACAATCACTGCTAAAATTTCTTCACCAAAAACTCTAGTCGAAGAATACGAACTTTCCAGTTCTGCCGTCGAGTTTTCAACATCAGTTAGCCTGGTAACTAGTCTCGTAGGTTTTAGTCATGGTGTGGTGCTGTGCCACAGTTTGCGACATAAGGCCTGCATTTTGAGTAGCATAGCGCCATTCTGTTTTCAAAACGAAAGATAGATTCTGTGCGTTGGGTGCACTAATCGATCGGAAAGTGGCTGGAAATGATAACAGAATGATAGCATCACTGCCTGGTTCTGCTTAAACTCGATAACTGTTGTACGATATGGGGGGAGGGCAATATGAACGTTACAATAATATACTCCACAAATTGCTCAAAAGAGCGG